TTGCCCCCTTTGTTGATTTCCCCTTTCGCTTGCTCAGAATATGCATTATTGCAGGTATCCCAAATGCCAAAGTCTTACCTAAATCACATATTTGTATCAAATTTTATTTCTAGTTTCAAATTATTCAAACAACATGAACATATAAAACTTAAATTCACCACACTAAACACATGAAATAAATAATTAACGGATGGACAACAAAATCAAATTTCAGCACACACAAAATAAAACCACAAAATCTACCTGATCCAGTTTTTGCAATCCCAATAAAATCACGCCCATCAAACAAAAAGGGCCAAGCATGAGCCTGGATAGGAGATGGATTCTTGAAATTCTTGCAACATTCCAACACATTATCAGGCAGTTTCGCCTCAGCAAAAGACTTTAAAGACGCATACTTTGTCTCTTGTGTATCCTTCCCAGACACCACTACTCTCTCTTGCGGCTGAACTTCCTCCTTCACTTCATGAATTACATTTTCTTTCCCATTTTCCTCCTGTTTCTTGCTTTCTTTCTTCTTGTTTTTATCTTTCTTGATACTTTCTGGAAAACTTTCACTTTCTTTGTCTTTCCCTTCATGGATTTCACCTTCATTCTCTTCTTCATGCTTCTTCTTCTTCTTCTTTTCTTTCTTGACGGTTTCCTGGTCTTGGGTTTCCTCAAGCCTTCTCTTTAGAGTTGTTTCCTTCTGCGTCTCTTGGAATTCAGGTTCTTGATTCTTGTTTTTATTCTTCCTTTTCTTTTTATCTGACTCGTGACCATTTGCGGCTTCTTGTTGGGCAATCGGTTCGCCGTTAAGATTGGCTTCTCGAATCTTTTTACCCATGGCTGTTGTTGTAGGTTAGAGGCTGCAAAGTGAGAGCAGAGCGAACCAAAGCCAAGAGAGTTTTCAAGGGGAAGGAGGTGGTTTATTCTAGGGTTTTAGATGTTGAGAGTTTGGGTCTCGATTTTGTCGGATTTACGTATGAAGTACTAACTCATTTTAGGCCTTCTTTGAGGTCCATGGGCTGAACCTTGTGAGCCCAACTTCAGGGGAAAAAAAACAATAAATAATTATTATTACTCCCACGCCTTGATTGGTAATGTGACTCATATGAGTTAATTATAATCTCGAGGGAATGACCAACTGTTTTTTTTTTTTGTTAATTATAATCTCGAGGGAATGACCAACAGTTTTTTTTTTTTAAAAAAAAAAAGGTGCTTTAAAAAAAATTATTGATTTGTTTAAAAAAATATTAAAAAAGTATTGTATCATGATTTTAACAATTAGATGCTTAACTGTGAAGAGTGAAAATTATTATTATATAAAATAGTTTAAATCTATAATAATTTTCACTTTAAAAAAATATGAAAATTGGTTTTTTTTTTATTTTAGATAAAATAAAGCTTATTTTATTTAAAAATAAAAACTATCTTAGATATTTTAAATTTAACTAACTTTATTTTGTTGTTTTATACATGATAATTACCCAATATTTAGTTACATAGTTAATAGCCTTACATGTTTTAAAATTAACCAACCTTGATTATTTTATTTCAAGTATATTAGATTTTATCTTGCCTATATTTTAATTAAATTATTTATTAGTTCTATTTACTAAAATAATTTATATAATGTTTGATATTATTTTTTATTTGCATTTTGTTATGATACTTGTGTGGTTTTTTTGAAAAAAATATTTCTTAAGCAATTTATTTAGTTTCTTAATTTTTTTATTTTTTAAAGAAATTTTTTGGTTTAAATTATAAGTTTTATAACAATTTTACTAGCATGGTAATTAATTATCAAATAGTTTGATGTATATAATTTCATATAGCAGCACATAACATGGTATAATAGATATGATCATAGGCAAGGACCTTAAAAGAGCCTGTAACTAGAGGAATTTTTTTAAAAAATTCCTTTAGATACGCTAGGTTGAGGTGGAAGGTGCATCCTCAAAATCCACCAAGAAAAATACTTAGTAAAAAAAATATGATTATAAAAATATGATGACAATATTAATAAAAAAGTATTTTATAGAACACATGTATAATTAAGATTTAGAAAAAAAAAAGAGTGAAAAAAATATTATTCAATCTTATTCATTATACTATGAATTACAAAAATAATTTATTACGTTTTTTCTTCTTATTTTTTGTATTTAATTCTTCTATTCTTTGTTTAATTATTGAATTTTATTTATTTTCAAGTAAGTTTTTGAATTGTGCATGTTTTGTTTTGGGAATAGAAGTTAATTTTATTATCATATATTTTTTTATTATATAACTAAAAAAATTATATTAAACTTTATGGAGTCTATTAACCAGTTTATAAATATGGCGAATTAATCCGAGTTGATCCAATTCATGAATTTAGTTGGTTAAAAAATATGTTTTTTATTTTATCATTTAAAATTGAATTGACTGAGAATTGAATTTCATGAATTTTTATTCAATTTCTATAAGGTTATCGCGATCTTAGACAAATATCCTAGTATTAGAGTGGAGTTTAATTTTATGATTTTTTTTTACAATATAGTTAAATAAAGAATATTTTTTGAGAAAAATCAATTTATTGATTCTAGTAAAGTTTATAACTCGATTAACAGATTTGACGAGTTAAACCGTGTGACTTAGTTCACGGGTTATAAATACTAACCAAACTCGATGTTTATTTTTTTATTTTATTTTTTAATATCAGGTTATGAGTTTTATAATTTATTTTGACTTTTATAACTCGATTAACAGATTTGACGAGTTAAACCGTGTGACTTAGTTCATGGGTTATGTGGATTTGCTAACCAAACTCAATGTTTATTTTTTAATTTTTTTCTTTAATATCAGGTTATGAGCTTTATAATTTATTTTGACATGTTTTTATATATATAAATTTGAGTGTCTAAAAATTAAGCAAATACATATGTATAAATATTTGATTTTATTAAAATATATGATATTGTATAATCTTTATTTAAAATATTCATACAAAAAAATAAATTAATTTCCAGATCTTTCTTTGAATTTAATTTATAGCGGCTTGATTTATTTATGAAATCAAAACAATATTTAATTATATATGGTGAAAATTACGTGTTGTATAAACTATTAATGCTCATTATTTTGATATACTAATAAATGTGTAAAGCTACATTATTTAATAAGAGAAGTCTCAAGTTTGAATCCTCATGGCCGAATTGATGAACAGGAGAAAGGATGCCTGGTCATGACCGGGGCTAGTAGTAAAGCAAAAGAGAGAGCTGCCATCTGCAAAATCACGATTTTTTAGGGGAGGGCTCTTGAGTTTCATGCTTTATGCTCTTGTTGGGCGACGATTACAAGACGAGTCTCAAGTTTGAACCCTCATGTCAAATAAAAACCAAACAAAAAAAAAAAAAAAAAAATAAGAAACTCTTGGGCTATACAAAAAAAAAAAAAAAAAAACAAGAAACTCTTGGGCTATGAGCTGCAGTAACTAAGAACTGATTTGTAATAATAGTTATAATTTAAAATATATTTTTTAAAAAAATTAATTTTTAATATCAGCACATTAAAATAATCTAAAAATATAAAAAATAATTTTTAAACATTTTTTAATTTTTTTAAAAAAACACCAATTTAATAGAATTTCCAAATAAACTGTCTCATGCACAAAAGCAGAGTGATACCTTGTGTCTTCAAAAATATAAAATAAAAATTAATATATCTATACACATACAAGCTGCTATGAAAATCAACAATAATACTGGTTATGTACTAGATGATCAATACGTATTACTACTACATGCCTTTTATGACTAATATCCCCTTGGAAAATTTTTATGACTAAGAGATAATTATTTCATCGTAATTAAGGAGATATTGGTTATTAATGACTTGTCAAATTAACCGTGAATCTGAAAGGTGTCATCCGCCGGTACGGTCAAAGTATTGCCATCAAATGGGAACACACTGCTGGGCAATTCCAACAATTGAGATTAGTCAATCTTTATCTTCCAGAGAAAGCATGGACGGATTTGTTATCTCATAACCTAAACCTAAACTGCTTGGCAAGTTTGGCAATATTCAAGTTACAGAAAGGGAAACAGAATCAAACTTCTTGACGATGTCAAAGGGCGCCGTTCTTGCATGAATATTTGTCCTGTAATTTCGCAATAAGTGGAACTTGGTAATAGCAGAGTTCATAATTTGCTGTTAATATACTTGTTAATGCTCTTGGGATTGTCTTGGCGGTGATGAGTGATGAAAAGGATGTTTCCATGGTCAAAATGTACATTGAATATGGGGTAACATCTGGCTATTGATTAGTGAACAGAGTGCCATGTCAATGGCGAGGTAGCCATCAGCTTACAGGCTCTCTCTTTTTTTTAAAGAATATTGTCATTTGTAGCTTTCGAGAGTTTCAATTTATATTTAAAAATCTTTCTTGCTGATAAGGAGAAAAAGGACGTTGTAGCTTGTTTGAGGGATGTGTTTTCATAACTGCAATTTCCTCGAAAAAATACTGAACTTTTCAACCTCGCGAACGGAACTATTCAGGTGGTATTTCAGGAAAAGTACTTGGAAAAGGTATTGAGTTATATCGGATTGACCAACTAGTTTTGGAGGTCAAGTAAGTCACTGAAAACATGGCTTGGTTAATCAGGTTTTACTACCTCAACAACTTGTTTGGCTCGACTAGAAATCTGGTTTGAGTCCGGCTTCGAGTCCCCACTTTCTCAGTGCAGGCTCCAGGTCATGAGTTTCTCGAGTAAAACTGTTATGTTGGGTTGAGTTTAAGAAACATGGTTTTTTCATCCCTTTCTGGAAAAAAGGAAAGAAAACAAATTAGGCTTCCTAGGTGCCTCATCATTCATGAAAACGATCCTTGGAATTTCAATTTTGACAGCAGCCCATGGAGTTTTCCACGAAAGAGAAAAGTAGCTGCTTGGAACTTCCAGCGAGTGAGAGGTCATCAATCATTTAACTCTCCTGCGCAAGTAATTTACGCTTTCTGGACTCTAATTGGTAGAAATGGCCACATAGTTTTGAGGCTGGCATAGCTTTAAGCCAAATTGGAGAATTTCATGGAATTTACAATCTTTGGAAGAGACAATAAAAAACTACAGATCTATATTCCTGCTTACGAAAATTCTGAGTAAACTATGCTTTCAAGCAAACAAGTGACTGGATGGTGAGTGGATAACTGATCACCAGGGATCTTGAATATTTCCTAGGACAACCACGGCTGGTTGACCTAATGCGAGAACAAACTATATAAGCCCAAAGTTGGAGTTTCAAAATCACAGTTCAAAACAACCTTCTCTTCAAGTTCCATTCCTTGAGGGGGGAAAAAAAGCACAACCAAGCCTGACATTTAACCTGATCCCTGAACAAAACCAGCTGCTTCTAAATTCTTGGTGTCCGGATACATACAACAAAAATCCCATCTCCAGCCTTCTTTTAAGAAATACCCTTACATACCCATTCCTGTCACAAATCTAATGCATATATTAGAATAGCACTTCGGATACAATTAATTTCTGTCAAACAGAACCAACTCTATCTTGTAACCAAGCAGATCCCGAACTTCTAGCTATTTAAGCAAGGGATAAAATGGCTGAAGGTTCAGTGAGCTTTCTCCTCTCGAAGCTTGCTCAAATTCTCGAAGACGAGGGCCAGCTTTTGACAGGGGTTCGGACAGAAGCTGAGTATATCAGTGATGAACTGGAGTTCATGAAAGCCTTTTTAAGAGTTGCAGATGCCATGGAAGAGAGGGACCCGAGCCTTGAAGTGTTGGTCAAGAAAGTGAGAGATATTGCTTATGAGATGGAAGATGCTCTTGATGATTTCAAGCTGCGTCTTACACATGATCGTGGACGAAGATTCTTTGCTCCTCTCCTAAGAAGTTTCGACTACTTCGTGAATTTAAGAGCTCGCCATCAAATAGCTTCAAGAATCCGAGCCATCAAATCCAGAGTAATAGGCATCTCAGAAGCACACCGGAGATACCTGATCAGAAATAATATAATGGGGCAAGGCTCAACCTTCAGCAGCATTTCTAGGCTGGAATCTCAAGGGGATGGCCTTCTGCTAGAAGAAGCTGATTTGGTGGGCATTGAAAAACCCAAAAGGCAGTTGATCGAGTGGCTTTTGGGAAAAAAATCAGGACGCGAGGTGGTTTCTGTGGTTGGGATGGGAGGGTTGGGGAAGTCAACCTTGGTGAAAAAAGTCTACGATGATCCAGATGTGAAGAAACAATTCAAGTTCCGAGCTTGGATCACCGTTTCTCAATCTTTCAAGAAAGAGGAACTCCTAAAAGACATTATTCAACAACTCTTTCGTGTTCACAGAAAACCAGGTCCTAAAGGTGTGGATAAGATGGACTATGATAAGCTAAGGACAGAGATCAATAAATTTCTGCAACAGAGGAAGTACCTGATTGTCTTGGATGATGTGTGGCACACAAGTGCCTGGGGTGCTTTCCAACATGCCTTGCCAAACAACAACTGTGGCAGCCGAATTATGGTCACAACTCGTAATACTGAAGTTGCCTCTACCGCATGTATGGATTTCCCTGACAGGGTATTTCCTTTGGACCCATTATCTCAAGAAGAATCTTGGATTTTGTTCTGCAAAAAGATATTTCAGAACAATACTTGCCCTCCACATTTGAAGAATGTTTCAGAAACAATTCTCGGTAGATGTGAGGGATTGCCACTTGCAATTGTCTCAATCAGTGGTGTCTTGGCAACAAAAGACAAGAATAAAATAGACGAATGGGAAATGGTCCATCGCAGCCTTGGTGCTGGATTTGAAAACAACGACACACTGATGAGTACGAGAAAAATACTGTCACTGAGTTACAATGATTTGCCTTACTATCTCAAATCTTGCTTGTTGTATTTCAGCATCTTCCCTGTAGGTAATCCAATTGGGCGGATGAAACTTATTCGGCTATGGATAGCTGAAGGATTTGTGGAAGGAAAGGAAGGGATGACATTAGAGGAAGTTGCAGAAGACTACCTGAATGAGCTCATAAAAAGAAGCTTGGCTCGTGTAGTAGAGGCAACTAGTGATGGACGCGTCAAAACATGCCGCATCCATGACCTTCTGCGCGAGATTATGATTACAAAGGCAAAAGACCAAGACTTTGTAGCCATAGCCAAGGAAGAAGGCATGATGTGGTCTGAAAAGGCCCGTCGTGTATCAATACATAAAGCCGTGCCAAGTATACAACGAAGACATGTTGCCTCTCGACTTCGTTCAGTGCTCATATTTTGGGGGGCAGATTCTTGTCCTGACTCTCCTGCGCCTAATTTGTCGTTTGGTCACCTGAGGTTGCTTAATGTGTTAGATCTGGAAGGAGCACCTCTGAAGGAATTCCCCAGCAAAGTTTCCAGCCTCTTCCTCTTAAAGTATCTAAGTTTGAGGAACACCAATGTCAATTCCATTCCAAGCTCCATTAGCAAGCTTCTGAATCTGGAAACGTTGGATCTAAAACATACTCAAATCTCTGAATTGCCCGTTGAGATTCTGAAGCTCAGAAAACTTCGCCACCTTTTGGTGTATCGTTATGAAATTGATTCTGATGACAGGATTCACACCAAATATGGTTTCCAACCACCACCTCAAATCGGAAGTCTACAATCCTTGCAAAAACTCTGCTTTGTAGAGGCAAATCAAGGCGGTGATCTTCTTCTGGAACTGGGAAGGTTGAGTCAGTTGAGACGGTTAGGCATTGTAAGGTTCAGGAAGGAACATGGGAAGGCTCTATGTTCTTCTGTTACAAAGCTGGCAGACCTTCGTGCCTTATCTATTACTGCAATCACAGACAGTGAATTTATTGATTTGGAGTACTTATCATCTCCTCCTCGATTTCTTCAGCGATTGTACCTGACTGGACGGTTTCGGAGTTTACCAGAGTGGTTGCATTCTTTGGATAGCTTGGTCAAGTTGGTTTTAAAATGGAGTCGGTTGAGTGATGATCCACTGCTGTCTCTTCAGCATCTGCCCAATCTACTACACCTCGAGCTTGTACAGGTTTACGATGGGGAGATGCTGTGTTTCCAAGCTAAGGGATTTCAACGTCTCAAGTTCCTGGGCATAAATAAACTAGAGAGTCTCAGAGTGATAACTGTTCAACAAGGAGCAATGCCTTGTCTTGAAAAGCTGATCGTCCAAAGCTGCAAGGAATTGAAAAGGGTGCCATCAGGTATTGAACACCTGACCACGCTAAAGGTATTGGAATTTTTCAATATGCCAAAAGAACTCATCATGACGTTGCAACCCAGTGAAGAGAATGGAGATTATTTGAAGGTTGCACATGTTCCAGATGTTTACTCCACCTACTGGAACAACGGTATACTGGATTACTTCACTTTATTAACCAAAGAGGATGGAAATTGTGCCCTGTCTAGCCCTAGCGGTAGCAGGCGCGACTATATTTGGAAATAACATGTTTTGATTTGTTATAAAGTATTTTTAAATTATCTGTGTGATTGTAAATTATTCATGAATAAGCATATCTCTTATTTTGTCTTCCTTCCCTTCGTTCTCTGTTGTTTTCTCTTAATTTGGTGTACGGTGTGCTGTGTAAACTGTGAATATTTCTCGTTAATACTCAAATAATCTGTGTCGATGGAGGAGTGTGGAGTTAGGGTTGACTTTTCTACGAGGCTGCTATATATCATATAAAAAGCTTTCTGACTTCAGCTTTTGAAATAGTCTTTGCCAAGCTTTTTATAGCATACTAAGAGCATCTCGCAGCCTATTTAAGAGTCAAATTAGTAATATAATTTTTTAATAGTATAAATATAGTTTTTTATTTTTATTTATAGGCACTTTGATGGTAAAAAAACTCATTTAGAAGATTCGATTGTATTTAAATATATTTGGTATTATTGATTATAACAAAATCATATAACTCCAATCAAAACCCTTCTTTGATATCTTCTTTGATATAAAAGTATATTAAACAAAATTTTAACATTTTTGACCAATATATAAGAATAGTTCTTCAACATAAAAATGTTATTTTACCTTTTCAATATAGTTTTTCTATTAGAGAATAATATAAATCATATCTTGAAACCTTATTTAATAAGCTTAAGCTATTATGTGAAATGATTCTTTGACATGGTATCAGAATCTTGGTGATCAAGTGATTACGAGTTCAAATCTCACTATCCCTATTTATTTGATAAAAATTAAATATAAAATAATATAGATCTATACAAGTTTCAAGTCTAAATAATTTTTATTTAAATTAAATATAAAATAATATAGATCTATACAAGTTTCAAGTCTAAATAACTTTTATTTAAAATGATATATTAGAAAATAATATAAATTATATTTAAAAATTTTACCTAACAAGTTAAACTATTGAATAAAATAGTTCTTTGATATTTTCTATTAGAGCTGTAAAAAACAAAATAAAAGATCAATGCCAAAAGATTATCTTCTGTTTTTTTTTCATTCAGCACATCCTTTGAGATGCCCTAATAAACAAGCTCATGGGCTAACGAGGATCCCAGACTTTAAGATAAGATACAAAAACAGATCAATAAGGGTTGCAACCAATTGCCCCCTTGTCTTAAGGGAGTAATGTTTCTTGTTTCAATTTGTATCCAACACTTATAGCTTGTCATTAAGATTTATACATATAAAATCTACATGTAAGATTGCATTAGAGAGAGATACAGAGAACCCATAATCAATTAAAGCACCAACAAAAAGAATTCTCTAAGTTACTTAATGCAGGCGGAGGCAGAAGTTTCGGTAAGCAGGACAGCAATAACATAAAAATCATAATATTAAAAAAAAAAAACACAAAAGGTTTAATCAGTGAATATAATTGCAGCATAAACTTTAAATTTATAATTTTATTTTCTAAAAAATAAAGTTTATAGTGACTATCTCCTTAAGAGGTTTACGCAGACTTTTAATAAGTCAAAAAATCTAATCTCTTTAAAAATAACCAGGAATCTAAAAAGATAAAAGAAATAAACAAAAAAAAAGAATTAAAATATAGAATCTGAAAAAAATCTAGAAAAAATCTAAGTGACTTATATACAAGAATCGATATTTAACCCCACAGTTTAATATTTTTTTTTTTTGGATTAGGACTTAAAGTGTCATATATGTAAGTATCACGTATGGAAGCTTGTGCTTGAGCCAAGGTGAATGATCAGCTGCATATCTCTCCAACTCGATAAAAATGTTATTGTGTAATCCCATAGATTTCCCCCATATGATATGATCACGTCTCAAGATTTTTTGGGGATGATTGAAAATTTCTCAGTTTCTTAACAAGAAGTGTTCGGGAAAACATAGCTTCGAAGACTGCGCAGAAACTTCACTATAATTCTTTAGTGGTTTGCCTTCTTAAGAGGTCAGTGCTGCTGTCTAATTTCCTAGCGTTCTTTAACTAGGAGCCTGCCTTCTCCTTAAAAGGTTAGTGCTGCTGTCTAATTTCCTGGTGTTATTTAACTAGTAGTTTGCCTTCTCCTTCAGAGAAAAGGTTAATGCTGACTAGCCGCTGCGCATGGTTATCCAAAATGATGTTTGAGAAGTCAAATTCACAGGGTTTACTATGTGTTTTTATTCTTTTATTTCCGCTTTTCTTTTCTAAAGAAAGTTAGTATAACCTGATGGCTCAAATGCCAAGCTGGATCCAAGGCTTGCCACGGAGAGAGACAGAGACCCGGAATTAACTAAATCTTGATCTTATCCTTGTTCTGTATTTTTTATTTTATTTTTACTCTCGAAAGGATTTGAATCTGACTTGAGTGCTTGCCTAAACAAGAAAAGAAAAGGGTATTCTAATATTTATTACTTGAAGATTCCTTTTACACTTGATTCTGTGTAGTCTAAGAATAGGATACTTCTAAAGCATCTGATAATGGTGATGTGAGATAGCATTGTGTCACTGCCTGAGAGCAAGCTCTTTCAGCAGCGTCAGCATAAAATTAGCCCAATTTGGGTTTGCTATTATTTTATAGATACTACCTCCCATTGGTGTCTCAGCTAGAATGACCTAGTCGGGCGGAGATTTTGAGTTGCGAGGTACGAGCATGTAGTGATCGAAATAAATAGGCGTTGAAGAAAGATTATTTAGCAGATGTATTTATAAATAAGTAGATTAGGTTAAGATGCTCCAGAAATCTAGATATGTTTGGCTAAAATATCGGTTCAAGAAAAACTATAAATATCATTAAAATACACTTAAATTTTTAAAGAAATTTTTAAAAGTTGTTATTTTTCAAGTTATTAGGTGAATTATCAAATTTTTACATATCAAAAATCTTGACGAGACCCCTAATTTTTATAGTTTATCCTTTTTACTTTGAATTTTTTGTTTATTTTAGATTTTATAATTTTTTTTTGTAATTTTAAATTTTTGTTTTTGCTTCCTAGTTAATCTATTGAAAGTTTTGTAATCTCCTAACTAGACAAATTTTATTATTTTTATTTTTAGAAGGAATAAACTTGTAAATTTAGAGTTCACACTTACGATTCCTTTCATCTATTTAAAATATTTGGTAGTCTTTGTTTAATTGCTGTCTTTAACTTATACATTCATCACTTTTATTTCTTGTCCTGAAGTGCTAAACTTATCTTTTGTCTCTTCCTCAATGCACATTCAATAATCACATATTGCCAGTCGTTCTCCACCGAATATTTCTAATAAATATACGCTAAAGCCGATTATAAAATCTTAATGATGGGCGTCAGATTGTTTGTCTTGGTCAAGTTTTACATTAATTTTAAAGCTGCCAAAGTGGCAACCATCCAGAAGGTTAAACCGTGTAGAAATGGACAAGGCCACCTCAGTTCATCACATTCAGGATTCAGCAAAATGGACTTAAGAACCCAGGTGCATCTGATAACAGCAGGGTCTTAAATTACTGAGAAGAAAATAGCAAATTGTTCATTTCTTTGCTGAAACTAAAAGGGAAAAAAGAAAACTGACTTCACGAACCTTTTGGAGCTATTGAAATATTGGTATGACTGAAGAGAAGTTACATGGAGCTTGCAAATAGTGAAATTTAGTCAACAAGTACAGAAGAACCTTGCTGATGGTTATTTGGAGTGTCCTAAACTTTCTTGAAAAGATCTCATTGGTTGCTAACAAATTATATTCATAAAGGAAGTGCTCGTCCAGATTTATATATATCCTTTATGAATATAATTTGTTAGCAACCAATGAGATCTTTTCTAGAAAGCGTGTGTATGTGTGTGTATATATATGTGCAAAAACACTATGTAAATAGAGAGTGAACTCTCAGAAACACAAACCAACACCAACTCTGAACACCAGTATTAAATTACTCCCTAGAGTTTCAGAATCACTTGCTGGAAAACTAAAAGTAAAACCACCCATGTCTGAAGGCGTGGTAACCTTTTTACTTACGAAGCTTGCAGACTTCCTTGTAGAAAGGGGAAAAAACCTGGCAGGAGTTGAGTGTGAAGTTGAGTATATCAGCGATGAACTAGAGTTCATGACAGCCTTCCTAAGACTTGGAGATACGATGGAAGACAGTGATCCTGTGTTAAGATGTTTGGTTAAGAAAGTGAGAGATGCAGCTTATGACACGGAGGATGCTCTTGATAGTTTCAGCCTATCCCATGCTAGTGATCGTGGGCACGGTATTTTTTCCTGTTTCAGGAAAATTGCTCGCTCTATTAAGGATAAAAGGGCTCGGCGACGAATTGCTTCAAAAATCCAAAGCATCAAATCTCGAGTCATCAGTATCTCGGAGTCACATCGGAGATACTGCAACAAGAATAATATAATGATTCAAGGATCAAGCTCAAACAGCATCCCTAGGATGGAATGTCAAAGGGATGCCCTTTTAATAGAAGAAGCTGATCTGGTGGGCATTGAAAAACCAAAAAAGCAATTGATTGAGTGGCTTCTTGGAAGCAAACCAGGACGTGAAGTGATTTCTGTGGTCGGAATGGGAGGCTTGGGAAAATCAACCTTGGTGAAAAAGGTCTATGATGATTCAAACATGAAGAAACACTTCAAGTTCCGTGCTTGGGTAACCGTGTCTCAATCTTTTAAGAGAGAAGACCTCTTAAAAGACATGATTCAACAACTCTTCCGTGCCCATAGAAAACCAGATCCAAAAGGTGTGAACAGCATGGACTACAATAAGCTAAGAAGTGTCATCCATGAATTCCTTCAACAGAAGAAATACCTGATAGTCTTGGATGATGTGTGGCACCCAAGTGCTTGGCATGCTTTCCAGCATGCGTTGCCACACAACAACTGCGGTAGCAGAATATTGGTCACCACACGAAATACTGAAGTTGCCTCTACCTCATGCATGGATTCCCCTGACAAAGTCTACCCTTTAAATCCGTTGTCACAAGAAGAATCATGGACTTTGTTCTGTAAAAAGATATTTCAGAATAATATTTGCCCTCCGCATTTGAAGAGTGTTTCAGAAACAATTCTGGATAGATGCGAGGGCTTGCCGCTTGCAATTGTGGCAATTAGTGGTGTTCTGGCAACGAAGGACAAGAGCAGAATAGACGAGTGGGAAATGGTACATCGTAGCCTTGGTGCTGGATTAGAAGAAAATGACATGCTGATGAGTGCAAGAAAAATACTGTCACTCAGTTACAACGATTTGCCTTACTATCTTAAATCTTGTTTGTTGTATTTTAGCATCTTCCCTGTGGGTAACCGAATCAAGCGTATGACGCTTATTCGACTGTGGATAGCTGAAGGATTTGTCAAATGCAAAGAAGGAATGACAGTAGAGGAAGTAGCACAAGACTACCTGAATGAGCTCATGAAGAGAAGCTTGGTTCAAGTGGTGAAGACAACCACTGATGGACGGGTCAAAACATGCCGCATCCATGACCTCCTGCGTGAGATTATGATTGCAATGGCAAAAGACCAAGGCTTTGTAGCAATCGCCAGGGAAGAAGGCATTACATGGCCAGAAAAGGTTCGCCGTGTGTCAATCCATAATGCTATGCCAAATAAACAACGAAGACAAGTTGCCTCTCGACTTCGTTCGTTGCTTGCATTCTGGGTGGCAGATTGTAATTATGAGTCCCCTGTACGCAAATTGTTTTCTAGTCGTCTCAGGCTGCTTCATGTGTTGGATCTGGAAGGCGCACCTCTAAAGGAATTTCCCAAGGAAATTGTCAGTCTCTTCCTCTTAAAATACTTGAGTTTGAGGAATACCAAAGTAAATTTTATTCCGAGTACTATTAGCCAGCTTAAGAATCTTGAGACGTTGGATATGAAACATGCTCTAGTCTCTGAATTGCCTGCTGAGATTCGGAAGCTCCAGAAACTTTGTTACCTCTTGGTGTATCGTTTTGAAATTGATTCTGGTGACCGGATCCCCACCAAATACGGTTTCAAGGCCCCGGCTCAAATTGGACGTCTACTATCCTTACAAAAGCTTTGCTTCGTAGAGGCAAATCAAGGCAGGAATCTTATGTTCGAACTGGGAAGATTGAAACAGTTGAGAAAGTTAGGAATTGTAAAGTTGAAGAAAAAACATGGGAAGGCTCTCTGTTCTTCTGTTGAACGGCTGACGAATCTCCGTGCCTTGTCTGCTACTTCTATCACAGAAAACGAGATTATTGATCTCGACTACGTAGCATCGCCTCCTCAATATCTTCAACGATTGTACTTGGGAGGACGTATGAAGAAGCTACCAGACTGGATATCTTCACTGGACAGCTTGGTCAGGTTGGTTTTAAAATGGAGTCAGTTGAATGACGACCCACTTCTATCCCTTCAACATTTACCCAACCTAGTACATCTTGAATTAGTACAGGTCTACAATGGAGAGCTCTTGTGTTTTCAAGCCAAGGGATTTCAGCGACTCAAGTTCTTGGGGTTAAATAAACTAGAAAGGCTCAGGATGATAAATGTAGAGCAGGGAGCAATGCCCTGTCTAGAAAAGCTGATAGTCCAGAGCTGCAAATCACTGCGGAGGGTGCCATCAGGCATTGAGCACTTGAGTACGCTGAAAGTATTGGAATTCTTCGACATGCCAAAAGAACTAGTCATGAGTCTGCATCCTAATGGAGAAGATGGAGATTACTTGAAGGTTGCACATGTGTCTGATGTCTACTCTACCTACTGGAATAATGGTAATTGGGATATCTTCTCTTCATTGGGTGCCAAGTTAGAAGACAAACACTCTGCCCAGCTTACTCCTAGAATGATCAAACGCAATTATACTTGGAAATAATGTGTGATTACTATTGACTCATCAAATACTGCCTGGTCTCTATTGATCAATGTATATATATAAATCATTAACAAGCTTATGTTTATGTTCCATCTCCCTTGCTCAGTGTAATCAGTTGTCTTAACGCTTAACTAATTATGCTCCCTCGGAAAGGGGATCGAGCATCGATAGTGTGAATAAATTGCATATCGCAGATTCAATTCCTCCCAGGTGTGGATCAAGATTCAAGTGGAATTTTCTTCAACAACGGCTGGGCAAACTACCAGGATGGACCAGCAATGGTCCTTCATTGATAGTAACAGTAGTAATTAAAAAGAAAACTAAAACCTCTATGAAAAGCGCTTTAGCTCTGTACTCTTTCCACTGTTCACTGGTTTATGTTTTCGTTTCTCTACCCAGAAAATTTTAACATGGGCTTAGAAGGGCATTAGAATTTACGTGGTTCATTCGTTATTATCAAACTAAACGAAAATAAATAAATATTTTCTCATTTTAATTACATAATAAAAAGAATTAGGAAGATAAAAAAACCTGAAGTTCATGGGAAATGTACACTAAAAATATCTTGATTCCACGTGGATTAGAATACTAAAATTGATGTTTTGCCCAACTAAGTTATCTATCAATTAGATCTTTTCAAACGTACCACTAATCATTTTAGAACTGATTAGGGACAACTTAATTTTTTTAAAATATATAATACATATAATTATTTAATTTTCTTTTTAAAAAATTATTTAACTTGGATGTAGAAGTTTTTCTGATATTTTACTTTTTATAACATGGTAAAATGACTCAATTATTTTTATAATTAAAATTTCCATAACTTGCTATTAATGGCTTAGTATTTTTATAATTAAAATTTCCATAACTTGGCTTATTTATACTTTTATTTAGTTTTTTTATTATTATATGATTTTAAAGACAATTTGATATTTTGATACATATACAAAAAGCAATATTTATCCACTAATTTTGAAGTGTAATTACGTACAGATATAGTGCAAAATGCAATATTTAATTAATTAAACAAAGCTTTTTGTGGTTTAAATAAATAAAAGAAACTTGAAAGTGTTACTGAATCGTTTTGTAGATATTGTTTGATTTTGTGTTTTAAAAATATTTTTAAATAAATTTATTTTTTTTTATTTTAAATTAATATTTTTTTAGTATTTTTATATTATTTTAATACCCTGATTTTAAAAATATTTTTTTAAATATTTTTTAAATAAAAAATATTTTTAAAAAATAATAACAACTACACGCTTAGATAGCCTTTAATCTCCCTTTCTTTTTTCCTTGGAAATCTTAAACGAGAAGATAAGTAAGAAATTATAGATATTGCATAAAAGATTCCTAGGAATTGCGCATGATGTGGATTTTTGTCGGTAGGACTGTAGAGCAAGTTACTCGCTGAAAGCAAGCAGCGTCAGCATAAATGAGGCTCCCTTGGAGAAGGCTATTTTGCTAGGTAGGTTTTAGCTACCTATCCATGGTGTCTCAGCTTGAAAACATATTCCAGTATAGAAGGGGAAAACGACAGGCTGCCTTGAACCCTTTTATTTTCCTGTCCTGAAAGTTCTCATCTTCTTATCGCTAAGCTTTCCTTGAATAATCATATATTGCTCATCGTTTTCCACCCATTTTTCTAATATATTAGATTCTAGAATCTTAACGGTGGTGTCAAACCATTTGGCTTGGCCAAGTTTTAGATTAACTTAAAGATGGCTGGTTATATATTGACAAAGCAAAACTTTAAATGATGCTTTTCCATCGGTATAAAACGGGTTTTGAAGTTTTTTTTTTTAAATTTAATCGAAGGAACTAATCTAGTCTGTTCATACGAGTACCCTCGAGTTATAATAATAATAATAATCCAACCAGACTAGCTTCTTGTACAAAGATGATGATTGTTTCTGGTTTCAACATCTGCAAGGTGATATCAGCAGCAAAGTTGTAGATAAATGCCCATAGGTGCCTCTCCTAGATTGCCTCGATGAGGTCATCTTGTGGGGACTGCTTTATCTCCCTTCCGTGTGCCTCGGTACAGCCTGACTAGCATGTGATATTTTCTTCGAAAAAGATGGTAAATTTTCATTTTCTTAACAGAAATTGTAGGGGAAGAAAGGAAGATTAGTTTCATGAACTTCTTGGAACCATTAAATAATTAGTCTACAATGCGTACCTGAACTTTGAGTCTTTCACACCTGAAAAGTAAGAGGATTTGCCTTTTTAGATAAGAACTAATGTGCTACTTGGCAGATTGACGACGGGATCGATAGAATTTCACAGAGCTTGCAAATAATAGAACTACGTAGACAACAACTACAGAATATCTTTGCTGATGGTGATTTGGATTGGCGTGCACTCTCAAGCAAAGAACTCGCTGACTAGTAAAATTTATATTCATGAAGGAAGAGCTCAAACTTGTATCTAGCTATGCGGTGGCATTATACAAGTAGAGAGCGAACTCTCAAGAATCACAGAACAGCCACAACTTCAAACACCAATGTTACGCTCCCTGAAGTTACCGAAACACTTCCTGGAACAATGAAAGAGCCATGTCTGAAGGGATAGTGACCTTCTTGCTCACGAAGCTTGGAGACTTTCCTCCTAGAGAAGGGGAAACAATTGGAAACAGTGAAGAATGAAGCTAAGCATGTTAGTGATGAACTTGCGTTCAACATGAAAGCCTTCCTGAGACTTGCAGATGCAATGGAGGAAAGTGATTCTGCACTCAAATTGCTGGTCAAGAAAGTAGGAGATGTAGCTTATGACACAGAGGACGCACTTGATGAATTGATCAGGCTATGCCCTGCCAATGATAATGGGCATGGAGTTTTTCCCTGCTTCAGGAAAATTTGTCGCTCTGTTAAGGATGCTAGAGCTCGGCGTCGAGTTGCTTCAAAAATTCAAGGCATCAAACCCAGAGTCATCAGTATATCAGAGTCACATCGGAGATACTGCAATAAGAATAACATAATGGTTCATGGTTCAAGTTCCAACAACATCAACTACGATGGAATGTCAAAGGGATGCCCTTCTACTTGAAGGAGCTGTTCAAAAAGCAAAAAGCAGAGCGATTGAGCGGCTTCTTGGGACCAAATCTGGACGTGAAGCGGTTTCAGTGGTGGGCACGGGAGGATTGGGGAATACGACCTTGGTTAAAAGGGTCTACGATGATCCAGACTTTTGAAAAATCTAACAATTAAAAAGCAGGAGGACAAAAGTTAATTTTCAGGAAAATGTTGAAAAAAGCCACATAGTTTCATCATTATTTTTACTTTGGTCCCTTAACTTTCAATTATATCCTTCCATAAATTGAAAGTAATTGACCTTCAATTTAATTATCTAAAAAAAATATTATTTTAATATATTTTTAAATAAAAACATTTAAAAAATGATTATCATTTTAAAATAAAAACATTTAAAAAATGATTATCATAATACTAAATACTACCGTTAATATCCTAGTGTAAAAATACATTAAAAATACTGATCTTCCTGCCACGATTTAGTTACAAGAAAAGAGAACAATGAAAAAAAATATTAAAAGTTTTTGAAAATTATAGTAATGATATTAATTTGTGAAATTCCGGTAGGTTTTAACCCGTGAGCGCAGCTAAAACTTGGGCAAAGATTTTGCGTACGATGAGTCATTATTTACAATTTAGTCTTTTTACATTCAACATTTCAATTGAGTCCGTTTCCACATTAAGCAATCCTCCTCTAGCCTATCAATTATTAATTAATGTTTACTCATATCAATTGCTTTGCTTGTGTATTATTTAATTAATTTATAATATTTTAAGATTTCTCAATATATTTTTTATGAAAAGTTTTAATTTTATTAAATAAATAATTTTGAATTTAAAATAATTTAATATAAATTCTGATAGTCATAAATAATTTATTTATTTAATTTTTAAACCAAGCTGATAACTTAAGAAAAAATTAAGGACATAAATTGAATTATTTTTCACTAATAATTGTTCAAAAATTTTCACTTAAAATTATAATAATTATGAACCATTTTTAAATTGGTGGTTTATTTCAATTATATATGGTATTAGTATTCATTAAATCAAAATTATGTATATTTTTTTTAAAAAGCATTTTTTTAAACTAAAGGATTATAAAAATGTTCATATTTGTTATTGCTAAAGGTGATTATTTTTTATTCAATTTAATTTTTATTTAAAAAAATAATTAAAATTGATTTTGTTGAAAAGAATTGAAGCAGGTTCAAATCAACTTAGTTTTGGTTATTTAAAAAAAAAAATAATTCTAATCAATTTGACTTGATTTTTTTTATTTGACTAGATTTTTTTTAGTTTGGCCTGGTTTTTTTAATTTGATTTGATTTTTTTAGTTTGGATTCGTTTTTTTTTTTTTTTTTTTATTTTTAAAAAAGAAACAAAAA